AAAAGAGTGGCGGTGGAAAACCCTTTGTCCAGGGGTGGACACACACACACACACACTTGAGATTATGCGTACTGATTTGGTTGCGGTGTGCCACACGCCGGCCTAAGTGAAAAACCAATATCAAGTCTAACACTCCAAACGGATCCCAGTGACTCCAAGGTTGACTGAATGAACCGCCAGCAGGCCGTAGCTGGGTGTCCTTTGGATGTACCACACTTGGTTCGGAGTCCATTGGAACGAGGGGTGTTTTTGGTGACCGGAGACCGAAACGAGTCGAACGAAACAGGTCCAGTTGTCCCATTTCTGCACCCTAAAAACATCTGTTGAATCTATGTTTTGGCTTGTGAATCTCAGTTGAACCAAGTAAGTGGACACAAAGAACACAGGAAGTAGTCAATTGTGTTGCGTATGCAGTTGTATCGTTGAGACAACTTAGGAGCCCCATTTTGGCGAACCAAGTGTGCTCGGCAGCCCCGGCCGACCCCCGGCCCTAGCAAGTGCATCCCTTCATCACCGTCGATCGTTCGTTTGATTTTGTCTGCTTTGATCCATCCCAACCTCTTTTTGCAACAAGAAGAACGTGAAACCATGTGAAACTCACTTCATGTCCACACCTTTCGAAGAAGAGGACGGGTGCAAATTCATGTGCATACTCTCATATTGGCACTGGTCAACGAAAAGCGATAAATCAAATCCAGCATATTCTGGCATAATATGTGCTGAGCGAGAATCCTCCCAGCTTCCCAAAGCTCCATTCTCCCAAATGGTATTGTCATTATCATGATCAATCATGAGTTTCTCCAGAACCCCGACCAAGTCAGGGATCACCACCCGAACTGACATTGCCAGCTAGCCACCATCAGCCAGCCTCAGCCCACCTACATGTTCAACTAAGTCGTCCTGCTAAGCTACTCATACGGCAAGGCCGGCAAAGAAAAGATCTCGCCCGCTGCTCCCACCCAGAGCGCCATCGCCATGGCGCTGGTCGGAACGTGGAACCACATGGCGCCCTTTTCGGCCGCGGTGCCACTGGTGGCGAATCGACCCGGCAAGCTGCCCTTTGAGCGATGCTGGCAACGGTGCGGTACGGGGGTGCTATTTGGGTGCTCAACTGGTGAGAAAGGCACTGGTCAAATCACCATGGATGGCAGTATGGCCTAATCATTTACCCATCATTTACGAGTCGAAACGGGATGAACATGGATTCCCAAAATACTCTTCCCGCCCCATGGATGGTGGATAGGGCGTAACCAGGCTGCAGTCTGAGGCTTCAAAATCCCCACAAACCATCCAAAACCATCAAACACCTGATTTTGTACGTGAAAAACACCTCTATTTCATCGGTTTGAGGGCTGCTGTAAAGAAATCGTCGTCACGGGACGCAACCAAGTTGCACCTTCCCCCATGCTTCTCCCAGTCGTCTGAGACCCACTCTCCTTAGTCTATACCCGGTTCTCAGGCCTCGCCAGCACCGACAGCGGCCTTGTTCTGGAAGGTCTCCTCCCAGTTGGGATTATTCATCCTGGCGATGGCGATCAGTTCATGGAGGGTGGCGACAGGCTGGAGATGTTCGATATCTATCTTGAAATGTCTTGATGTGAATGATGTCAATGATGTGTTATTTGTCAATGAATGATGTGTTATCTTGAAACATCTACAGTTGTGTGTTATTTGTCAACATATCTTGATGTGAATGATGTCACGCATACAACTACCATAGAAATGCGACATCAACCATTCGTGTTTTCTGAGACTTTCAAGGGCTTGGAGGGATGTGAGCGCTTCAGGCCTCGAAGCGTGAACAGCGCGCGGTTTTTCGCGCGTCCAGATGGTCACAATCTCCTGGTATTGTTTCGAAGTGGCTGAGTCCCACTAACAGTGAGCACAATCGATGAGCACAAAAGCAGCACCAGGAAAATTGAAAAAAAAGGTCTGGGTCCAATCAAATCTCCCATGCACTGCAAAGACTCTCCTGCTTTCATTTTGAAATGTGGGGCTGGTCCCGGCTGGCCTGGGCTAGTGGCTCTGCTTTCATTTGAAATGTGGGGTTGGTCCCTGGCTGGTTTGGGCTGGTGGCCCTGCTTTCATTTGGAAATGTGGGGCTGGTCCCTGGCTGGCCTGGGCTGGTGGCTCTGCTTTCATTTTGAAATGTGGGCTGGTCCCTGGGCTGGTGGCTCTGATTCTCGATTTCGTCAAATCTGGTGCTAGAATTCGTCAAATCCGGTGCTCGATTTCGCCAAATCTGGTGCTCGATTTCGTCAAATCTGGTGCTAGAATTCTTCAAATCTGGTGCTCGATTTCGCAAAACCTGCTGATTTTCTGGAAATTCTGCCCAGGGCGGAGACACAATCCAACTCAAACTCAAAAATCACTTACTGGCTGGTGCTCGAATTCGTCAAATCTGGTGCTCGAATTCGTCGAATCTGGTGCTCAAATTTGTCGAATCTGGTGCTCAAATTCGTCAAATCTGGTGCTCGAATTCGTCAAATCTGGTGCTCGAATTCGTCAAATCTGGTGCTCGATTTCGTCAAATCTGGTGCTCGATTTCGCCAAATCTGGTGCTAGAATTCGTCAAACCTGGTGCTAGAATTCATCAAATCTGGTGATTCTTGTGGTGGTCCTTGGTGGTGCTCGATTTCGCAAAATCTGGTGCTAGAATTCGTCAAATCTGGTGCTCGATTTCGCCTAATCTGGTGCTCAATTTCTCTGGCTGGTGCTCGATTTCGCAAAGCCCAGTGGTCGGGCTGGTGCCAGAGCGGGCAAAGCGGAGACACACGCGCGCAAAAATTGTGCTCTGGCTGGTGCTAGAATTCGTCAAATCTGGTGCTAGAATTCGTCAAATCTGGTGCTCGATTTCGCCAAATCTGGTGCTAGAATTCGTCTAATCTGGTGCTCGAATTCGGCAAATCTGGTGCTCGAATTCGTCAAATCTGGTGCTCGAATTCGTCAAATCACCCCACCATGACCTTTGACAGTGGTGGACAAGCAAGACAAGCATTCACCATCTTATATCATTTGCAAGGCCCACACACATACACACCTTACAGAAGGGCACTGGGTATGGGGCAGGGGATGGGTGAAGTGAGGTATGATTCTGATCATGGTGAGATCTAAACTTTTCAATCTGGGTCAACCCCAGCAATTCATTGACCAAAATGTCCCAAAACCAAGAGCCATTTCCAGCAATTCGCTGGTGCTCGTTTTCATGAACACACTTAATAAAAATCCCTTGTTGAACTGTTACTGGGACTCAGCCCCATCTAAGGTATTGTCAGATGTGTACTGTAGGGAGTCTGTGCTGAGTGAATCGGTGCGAGTCCTGGAGCACCAATGTTCTTGTCGTTCTCGGACAGGTGATGGATGAACAGGTGATGGATGGTGGGAAATCAGCGATGGTGAGGAAACCAAGTGTTGGGGGATCACACACTGACATGGTATCCAAAGGAAAGCAAACACAATTTTTTCTTGACACTTGAAACATGCGTTGAGATGTTGTATGGAGCAAGTGACAACGATTGCTCTGTCCACATAGGGCAAAACATAAGTATTGAGATGTATTGAGCACAAGGCTCTCCAGCTGCCCCAACTGCAAATCCTATACTCTTGAAAACTAATTACCAGAACCGGTTGTCCACGACGGGATACCGTTTGGGCCTTATTCGTGACCCAACATCTCCACCCAAAGCCGAACATCTGCGGATTGGGATTCCATGACTTCGGTCGATTGCATCACCCCAGCTCTCGAACCGCAGCGAACCAGTCACACGCAAAACCGACCACAGTGCTGCGTGGCGCGTGCAGCGTGGGAGCGTCCTGAACTGGGTGTGTTTTGGAGCATCCTCGAACCTTGGTCGAACTCGAATAGGAGTGAACGGGGACGCGACCAGGGGTATAGTCGTTCTTGCGGAGTGGAGTTTTGGATGAGAATTTGCCGGAGTCCTTGAAGATGTGCAAAGCTTGCGCTGACTGTTTATGGAATCGTTGATTGGTTTGACAGAACATATTGTGCAATGCTAGATAGGGGAACATGGTTACCTGGTTGAGAAAGAACACGAATTAAGTCTAAGTCCCGGGTCTACAATGCTGTCAGTCATGCGGATCAGTGGGCAGCATCTATGAGTGGGTCATCGTATGGAGCTCTGGACAAAGCCAAACCTGCTCCTTGGCCAACCTTTCAGCCACAGACCAATGCAGTAGACTATACATTCACTTAAAAAAGTGCTCATTGAGTGCTACCAGTATGTTTTGGAACTGGTCAGCCTTTGGCAACACAGTTCGTTTCTTCTCGTGATCGAAGCCGTAAAAGACCGTCGTCTTGAGGACGCAAGACGAACGTGTCTGAAGTGAAGTTTTTGGATGATCCATTGGTTCGAACTAGAGCCAACAAAACCAACAAATCAACATCAACATATAAGAACAAACAACTGCATAGAGGCATAGAGCTAACAACCTCATATATTACAGTACATTATATTACATATTATATCATATTAATTATCAACATAAACTGCAGGTCTTGCTCAAACGTTCGGCCATCTAATTACGTCCGTAATCTCCTACGAAGAAACAAATCCAACCGAGTCGGGCATCCAGACATGCCGTGCTCGAAAGCCAGGACGGATTCCCGGAGCAACTTTTCGCAGAAGTCCTCGTTGCCATAGAAGGCCTCGTTGCGGGATGAGGTCCCAGCGTTGAGTGGCAAGACAATGCAACTCAAACTCAGTGAAGTGGAATTCTTATCACCAGAAATTGAGAGATCGATCGAGAGGATCAAATCACTTCAGTCTTACTCAAAAAAAATATTCTGTACTCTCTATGGACCCACCGACACCACTACCACCACACTGACTTAGCCAGATGATGTGAGACAGTTCTGAATCAGTTTTGTTGCATAGCTGCAAGCATGAAGGTGACCACTGCAGCTCCGAAGAGTTTGTTCCTCACAAAGCAAAATACCACAAACATCCCCCCCAAACATCCGCGAACCAATCCCAAACAGTCTTCTTGAGCCATCTCCAAACCCCCTCTTGGGATTGCTTCGCATGCTTCGCAGAGTGAACGGGACCGTAGTCCGGGGGGACGTCGATACATATATCAGTTTTCAAGCACCAACTCGATACATATATCAGTTCAATGGGAGGATAGTGATAGATAACTTATAATAAAGAAAAAGAACATCACGAAATCTCGTGAACCTTGTAGTGGATTGGTTCATCGGGATAACCATCAAAACCACCCTTCCACACCACCTTCCAAACCGGTCACATACTGGCAGGTACTCCCCTGCCCTTCCAGCATGTTGCTACTCTGGGCATCCCAGGCAGTGCAAAGCTCTGGGCACTTTGCAAAGGTCTGCAGGAAGACTTTCTCGGCCTCAGCTCAGGCTGCTAAGCTCAGATCCGGCCCGAGCTGGTCGGGGATGCCTTCCAACGCCCCAGAACAGCTGACATCCCTGGAGGATTGATTGGTTGGATGGTTTGTTGACTGTGTTAAGATGCTGCAGTTCATTCAACCCCACGTCAGTTGTGCTGCACCGGCTCGATACAGGTCCTTAGCCCACCATACTGAGATATAAACTCTGCCACTTTACATATTGATCATTATTGACCCAACTCTGCAAATTGGTTAGTTGAACAACAGTATATAGGAATAACCCATGGGATGGGTCCAAGGAATTTGCACAGGCTGTTTCTGTTCACTCAACGATCTCATGACCTTATAGGCCTTATATGGTCTCCATCTTCCAAAAATCAACTACAAATCTTTGGTGAGTCAACCCTTCCCCCCATCACGGTGGGGTCGGACCTTCTCATCACCTTCGGATCCAAATCCACTCGGTTTTCTTCTCACAGATTCACGATGGTGACAGCTGGCATTTATCCCAACAAAGACTCCAGTCTCAAGTGTTTTTTGTCCACTGTCAAACCATTCCAAACCGCTGCCAAACCATGCAGTGGTTGTTCACCAATTCAGTCCAATGGCTTGACACACACACAAGCCTGTTCTTTATGATTCTTTATGTCTCCATATCATCCGAAACGACCAGCTGCATTTCTGACGACCCGTTGCAACACCGGACCTCATACACATTGCTCGGCCAAGATGGCTGTCCTGGCCAGATTTGTTTGAGGACTCATCGGACTGCCACCAATATGAATAGTGATTTGCATGCTGTGCAGAAAAGATCACAAAAGCGCATTGCATTTTGGCCCATAATATGCGTCACATTTGGAGAACATGCGCCACATGTGTGCCACTTCCTGGCAACGAGCGTACCACAAAGGGGCCAGCCAGGCGCCAAGAAACGAGAACGGGTCGAGCAACAAGAAGAACTTGATATATACCTTGTGCAAGGTTTGGGGGCCATCACTTCCATCGCTTGACATCTAGCTCTGAAGCTACCCGTGCACCAAAATCCAGGCTTTGTATGGTGGTGAACAGGGTGTCCCTTGTATCATCTTGTATCTAGGATTTAGCTCAAGAGAACAAGTATACCCTTTCCCTAGGGCTCATGTCGTACCTCCTCAGAAAGGTATTTGGACCCTCTAAACCCACCCCAAACACCTGCTTAGAAGGTACTTGGAGCCGTAGGGTTTGAAGCGACAGCCATCAAGGGCCTCCATCAGAAAACACCACAATTCATCGCCCAACTCAGCCGGATGCACCCCGCATGTGATGCTTCACACGCACGCGAAGAATTCGACGATCCTGGCTGTCTTGTGTCCAGTTTCCAGATCATTTTGCTGGAAAAAAACTCGCAGAAAAAATCCTCGGGAAACCCTGCTCGAGACCTCTCTCATAAAAACATGAACGAAAGGCTCAGTGGAGGCTGGCAAAGGCTAAACCCACCCCTGTCTTGAGAATCTCTTTGAGATCAGGACCTCACTCTCTTTTTGGTGACCTCTTGATCAATAGATAGCCTTACCACCAGTTTGTATTGCAACCAAGGGTTCTAGGTGAGGGCGGTGAGATCTAGGTGAGGGCGGCCAGGCGGCTGGTTCCGTCCGATCTGAAACGAAGTCCAGCACCTTCTCACAAAATGTTTGAACAAATCTCCAATCCGATCCAGTCTACATCCCAAAAGACCCCCCTCAGGATCATCCGGATCTGGATCCATAGATTCTGAGATCCTCGCTGTAGATCGTCCTAAACTCCACGTTTGTGGCACGGTCGTCGTGGTCACCCACCTCCGCAGAGAGGTGCCGCTTGTAGTTGGAGCACATGTTGTCTGGGTCCCTCGTGGACACCGGGTATTGCACCTCAGTCGGCCAAGAAAAGGCTCTTCATGCAAGTTCAAGCTGCCATACTGTGGCAGGTTCTGCGTAAGCAGAACAAACCAATAGGGAGATGGTGCTCTCCATCAGTGTATATATATATATGTTAACATAGTTATATATGTTAACATACGTTCTGAGAAGGTCAGGCAGGACGAAGCCTGAAAACGTCCCTCCAAGCATCCTCTTTTGGAGGTATGTGGGTTCTTCTAGATTGCAAGCAGCGAAAGATCGTTGCAAACGTATCAAGAAAAGGCTCGAACAAAGGATGCAATCGATTCAGACCTCAAGCCACAGGTACTTGTGCTGACCAGCCCATCACACGGAACCCTCACAGCCCTCCGACAGGGGATCAGTTGGCAACAAGGAACCTATCCGACATCCCTTCACATCAGTTCGCAACAAAAGGGGCAATTAGTCCGTTCCTATTAGTCTGGCAACGGGCACAGAATGACAATACTCAGCATGGCCTACCTAATAGCGATGGCCTCCTACCTACTAGCCATGGCCTCCAACATACGTAATAGCAATGGCCTCCAACCTAATAACAAACTCTCTCCTTCAGATGGTTTTGGATATCCTGACGGTTCCCTATACACTATGTCCTAGCACCCAGGCACCCACCAAATTTAGTCTAGCAGATGTGCGAATCACCCTCCTATCACGCAATGCGTGCCCGCATTGAACACGCGCAAGCGCCTGCATGTCGCTATGAGGCTCCAAACCACAGAACTAATGCGGTTTCCGGTGCCCAGCTGACCTTGCAGTGTGGCCTGGCGAAAACGCGAAGGACATCCACTGTCCACGAGTGTCTCAGCTTGCACCCTCCGGCTTTTTGCTCCCGGCTGAGCCGGTGCGCCGGGCTGCCCGCGACCTGGGCGCGACCTGGGCGGTCCAAGTGAGAGATGTTTGATTATGGAAAAAGGCAAAGCCATTGGTGAAACATCATCTTTAGGGAGGGCGTTCCTAGAGGAGCGTAGATGACATAGCAGAGTCTAGGGCGTGTCTAACAGCAAGTGGTCTTGCGAAAACAATTGATTACGATGATCGATGCATGTACAAAAAAACTATATATAATTCTATATGCATGTACAAAACGTATTCTCTTCTTTGACAGACCTAGAGCCAAGACAATTGTCTATGTTGGGACCAAAGATCAAAAGCAGGATCCACCGGTGCAGTTACGGAGATTCGTAGAAATCCTGTGGATTGCAGTCTTGGAGCCCTATGCTGCAAACAACGTTTTAGTTTCCACATGACATTTACAGACTTACCTCTCCAAAGCTGTGGCGAGATTCAGCAACAGTAAAGATTCTACTAGAAAGTCACGCTGAGAAAGAAATCTACGTCCATTCTAATTACCCACACTCTCACTCGTGATCAGAGACACCCTGGCCTGTTGCACGTAGTTCTGGGTTTTGCACACGAATTCCAAAGAAGAGGGTCCACATGGGCCCACATATTACAAAAAGCATCCTGAGTTACGCTTGCAGTTTGGTTTCTGAGCATTTAGCTGAATCCATAAGGAAAGAACAACACCAGAGTCCACCAAGTCACACACCGTTTCGCCATCCGCGGAGGTCGCAGGTGACTCAGGATCGACCGTCCTTTTCTGAGAGGTGGAGCAGTGGGAACTCCGGTGGCACCATGAATTTAAAGGAATCAAAACATATAAAAAATACCCCAGCCTACGCTGATTGCTTCATTCAAACATGTCGCTACAGATTCTATCAGATTCTTAAAGGCAAAGCTGACCTGTTACGGACACATTGTGAAAGCACATGTTGCGTGAATCACCAACACTGCATGCTATGCTGATGGAGAACTCCTTCGCCACGTCAAACCAAAAGCAAGCCCATTCCGTCGATGTTCGCAACGAGGCGTTCGATGTTCGCTTCTCTTCGACCTGGGGAACAATGATCGGCGAAAGGACATTGCACTTGTTGACACCACATGTGCTTGTCTAGCAAGGGGTTGGGCGAATTCGCTGTACGTAGTCCTTTGGCTCCCTCGGATACCACCAGCTTCTTAGCTCCCTCCTGAGCAAAAGCTGTATAAAATATAATGCTACTGCTATAGATAAGCTTTTCTTGCTACTCTGTTCGTCCCAAACTCATTACTGGACTTGAGTTAGGACACAACCAGTGTCCAAATCAAGAAGTTCTTCGCTGTCCTGGGTGTGTCTTTTCTTTGACTTGGCCTGGTCGGCCAATCTCCGGCCACTGACTTCGTTCGCTTCTGCCAAAGGTGCAGTGAAGCCTTGATTGTGGGTCAAGTTGCGTGCTTTTCTTGGTTTTCTTCGATCAACACTCTCTCTCTCTCTCTCTCTGACCGTAAAAACATTGAACTTTTGGGCACATGGGTGAACTCGTGGAAAGAGGTTACAGTATGAAGCCAATTTCCAGGAATTTGGCGCCCTGTCAATGCTGATGTACATGAGCATGATTGCAACTCAAACATGTCCATCGAAGTCAGTGGATCTTCAGCAAACCCAGCTGAGCCTACCCCAGCCTATATAGAAAAACATCTCTATTGACCATCCAAAATACGTCGAAATACGACATATTCATTATCCCATTCACGAACCAAGTCACAGCTGGTTTTGCCCATTCTGCAGGTCGTTCCCCAACCAGAGAGGGCCGCCCCTCGCGAATCAGCCACCCTGGAGGAATTGTTTCAATGCCTTCACCTCGATTGGGGCAAAAATCGTCTGGTGCAAACCTGTATGCCCTGTCATGCATAGCCAGGCTGGTGCAAATATATACAAAACATGCTGATCACCTTGCTGTCTGGATCCGTGTTTTCAAACGCAAAGTGTCTACGATGGTCCAGCCGTCCAACTGCGTGAGGATGGTTTGTTTCGTCCATGCCCAGTGGGTTGGCTGCATGACAAAAAACATCATCACATGCCCTAAGATATCAGGCAGACTTAGAGGGATTCCGGAGGGCCATCTGGGAGTTTTCCACTAAGTCATCGACTGTCACCGAAAACGATCGAAAACTTCTTGATTGAGAAAGACCCTAAGCAACTCTTCCATACAGATCCATACAGTGGTAATGTGGGTCTCAGTCATCTGTTTTGATTGAAGATCAGCCCCACTTGCATCACTTCCAGGTCATTTGCTGCTCAACATAATGGATTAGGATTATTGGAAACGTCCACTTCTTGTTCAAGACCTTTTGTAGGTTTGGATATATCTAGAACTCTTGCCAAGCCACATACTTGTCACTGGTGGAGATATCCTCGGTCAGAAAACCAGCAACGTACCTTCAATCATCTGTCGAGATTTCTTCTCTACGGCATAGTGGCATAGAGCAATCGAACGGGCTCTTGGCCCATGCCTCTTGCTTTCGATCCAAACGGGCCCAATGATGGTCAAAGCAGGATAGGATAGGCCTATTAGATTCCTCAACTAGTCAGCGCTTAGTCGAAGTGATGACCATCCACGATCATGCGCTCTTCCAATCCACCACCAACGTTCACCCAGCCCATGATGGTCACCAAACGGACCAAAAAATTGTGTTGGTAAGGAAACACCTGTCTGAACTCATTGAACTGTTTTCTGGTCAAACACCTTTCTGTGGATGGTCATGGTCGGTCATGTTGCAGCCGCGGCTTCTTCTTCAGCACCAACGAGTGGGAGATCCAAATCGAAGCTTTCTGTCTAATCTTTCACTCAACTAAATCGATTAGAGGTACTGTTTACTAAATCTTCCACTCAACTAAATCGATTAGTGGTACTGTCTAATCTTCCACTCAACTAAATCAGAATACTAATCTAATCTTCCTTCAATTCAAGTATTGCAACTTAAATCGAGAGAGGGCGCTGCTCACCGATCTGCGCCCAGCGACGTTGTGGCCCTTGCTCACGGTCACCAGTCGTCGCGTGGCGTATTCGGCGGCGTCCAACAAGCGCCGGGCGTGGGATACCGGGATGAGGGTGTCCAGCTCTCCGTGGAGGATCCTCATGAGATTTTAGGGCGCATTCCCTGGCGAGCCCACCGTTTCCCACGTTCGAAAAACAACTTCAAGCATCACACATGTTCGATCAAAAGCTGTTTATACCGTTTTATACCTATATTATCTGTGAATATCTAGGCACTCAAGCACCTGCTCAGCTCTTCCTACCTGGTCAAGCTTTTTCAAAGCTTCCAAATGAGTTCTCTGAACCTGGTAGAAGCACCGTCGTCGTCGTTTTAAGAAACCGGTGGGGACCGAACCTGGTAGGGCACGCACCGGACCCAACGGACCTCCGTTCGGTTCGCGTCCGATCGCTCCGTTCGTAGCGATGCCAGTTTCGCCCCTTCCTTCGGTTCGCGTTCATGTTCCGTTCGTAGCTGACCTGCTGGTCCTCTGGATTTGTCTTTTGCATCTGTTTTCAACATCGAGCATATGACCCTGCTACAACCAATGACCGGTGAACACTCCTCGCTGGCAAGCAGCCAGCGAAAATGGCATCAGTCATGGTCCCAAAAGGAACAAGTAAACAAAGTGATAAGTATTCAGAATATCAGTATCAGTAAATTCCTATATACGGTTTCTTTCCTGCGGGTTGAAAGTCCTTCAAAATGGCAGCATCCAACAATGTAACTCCAATAGAACATGGCTTGAGTTAGATCGATGAAGCCACTAACAATGGCGACCTGGGGAGAGTAGTCTACTCTGATCAACCTCATGTGCATCCCCTGATTAATAGAGAAAAGGACTCATGTACCGAAGGATACTCACCCATCTCAGGTTCTCGGGTTTCATGGCCTCTTGTTTTTTTCAATAAGAGCAGGCAACTGAGCAGGCATGATTATACACACTGAAAAAGGAACTCTGTTTAGAATGTTTGTCTACAACATGGTTCAACCAGATCAGACATTACACTGTGGACAACAATGTGGACAATTACACGTAGGCCTCTTCCAGGTCTCATGTCTTGGGGCTTCTTCCTGTCCCGCAAGGCCACACTGTTCCTCACCAGTTCCTCCACCCGACTGAAGCCTCACCAGTTCAGCCTCGGCTCAGAAGCCTGCCGGTGAAAGCTCTGATCTTGTCCTCACTGGCCATCAAATGCACGAAGGAATCCCCATCTTCCAACTCCTGCGACGTGAGATCCATTCTGCACATCACTGTTTTTGCCGTCCATCTCTTGGAAATCGAACGATACGGACGACACACAAATCATCAAAAAAACCATGGATTCCCCCAGTCGTTGTATATGTTGTGACGCATTTTTATGTGTTGACGCATGCTGCATGCTGCTGAAAACTATCTGGAACCAAGAATGTTCTTTTGGCAGGTGAGCCACCAGTTCGTCTTCCCCCGTTGTGCAAAAAAACACCCGCTGATTACATTCCCTGAAAGAATCATGGGCCAACGTGGATGGCATCACCTGTTTGGTATTCGGCTTTGGTCATCCGAACCGGTGGATCTGGGCTGTGCAGTTTGCTGTCCACAGCAAACCGGATCGTCAAAGGAAGCGTAGAATGGATCTTTTGAGGTTTATCATGGTTTATCACTGCTTGGAGAGTGGAGTGGAGTGGAGTGGATCCACCTCAGCGCACGGGACGGCGCTGAAGTCGTGGCGAAGCGAAGATGCAAGCTTTTCGATGTCTTGAACCCAGTGTGAGGATCTGTCCATATCTGTCCTACCTGCCCCCCTTTCCTGCATTTATGGCATTTATGGAGCAAGGACTTGATATCGCTTGGGACACCAATTGGGGACAGGAGAAGTTCACAATGTTCATATACCGTGAGATGGACAAGGCCAGGCAAAAGATCAGA